TCGCAAGGTCACAGGATTCACTTGTCAAGAAAGCTACAACTTTATGTGATGACACTATTTGGCGCGCTAGACCATCAGATTTTCTTAATCTTTCTTTAGTTCTTGATGTAGCACAATTTCTCTATAGTAGGGTAGTTAAAGGATGAGCTATATTGTGACTTATTCTTTTTTATAAAAAAAAAGAAAATATTTAAAGGCAGGGCGTCAAGGGGAATCCGGTTAGGACCGATACCCTCTTAGAAATACACCGCTTCCATGATTCAAAAGTCGGCGAGTCAAATCGGGCGCCCGATTTGACTCGGGAACCGACAGTAACATATCGAAAATCGCCTGGTTCTAGAGAAATACCGGCGATTCCATACCGTAAAATTGCCATGTGATGTCAATACACCGGATTCTCATTCATGCCGTAAATCGCCATGTGACGTCAATACACCGGATTCCCATTCGAATGGGTGATCACCAGTGATTCAAAAGTTGCGAGTCAAATCGGGCACCCGATTTGACTCGGGTGCCCGAATTGACTCGAGAACCGGCAGTGAAATACCGGAAATCGCCTGATTCTTCTAAACCCGGTGATTCATCCGATCCTTCTAGGACCGACGATTCCATGCCGTAAATCGCCATGTGAGGTCATAGCCAATTCTTCAATGGGCATTTTTGTAAAGTTTAAAAAGAGATTCCATGCCGTAAATCGTCATGTGACGTCATGGTCGATTCTTCGATGGGTATTTTTATAAATTTTAAAAAGTACATAAACCTAAGATTCGCACATCTCACCACGTGCACTGTCCTCACTTCGCATGCGTTATCCTCATTGGCTACAAAGAGGTATTTTCACTATAACTTCCTTCCTTCTACCTCTTCGATGTGGGATAATGTGAAGGTATTAACTTGAAATATTAATATATTATATATTTTGTTTGCGCTTCTAATAACACATAGTAGCATGTGGCTTATTGGTTGTCAAGTGCCTTTTGCATGTGGAGGTTCGAATCACTTTGGAAAGAAAGGTTCTCTCTTATCAATTATTTTTCTTGTCAAATTTATTTTTATCAATTATTTTTATTGTCAAATTTATTTTTTTGAGGTCTAATTTTTTTCTTATAAAAAAATGAAAGGGTTTTTTATCAATTTCGTTTTCTGTCAAATTCTTTTCTTATCAAAAAAATGAAAGTTTTTTTTTTATCAATTTCACTTTTTGTCAAATTTTTTTGTTATCAATAAAATAAAAACTTTCTTATAAAAAAAAATGAAAGGTACTAATCAATTATTTTTCTTGTCAAATTTCTTTTTTTTTTGTCAAAAAAATAAAAGGTTTTTGTCAAAAAAATAAAAAGTAATAAAAATTTATTGTCAAAAAAAAAAGTTCTTATAAAAAAAAAATAATACAAGTATTTTGGTCAAAAAAAATTTCTTACCAAAAACAAAAAAAATGTAATACAACAAACATTTCTTGTAAAAAAATAAAAGGTTTTGTCAAAAAAACTAAAATGTTCTTATAGAAAAACTATTTTTTATTGTAATCCATCTACGATTATATACTTCATCCATGATACTTCCATGATTTTTATTTTACGTGATGCAATTTAATGGTTAAAATACGTTCATATAGAAAAAAAAAAATCCCAATATTCATATATTGATGAAAAAAATAAAAATTAATAATAAAATACCTTGATTTCAAAAAAACAACATTTATAATAATTTTTTTAAAAAAAATTAAAACTTAATTCGACCGATTCAGTCGATTTCCGATCCGAATCGTCGATACACTTACCCATTTTTTAAAACATGGGTGAACCTGCTAATGAGGGTTACAAGTGAGCCACGTTTTGGCAGGACTCAGGATAATTAATGAGCCTTAAATTCAACCTCGGCTCCCCATAGCGAGTCGTATTAAATGGACCTCGCCCGGGGCAGCGTAATCCATTTGTCCACTATTGGAAAATTACCTAGAAATAACCCCTCCGGCCAACGATTAAGGTTCATGACCGGCTTCACTAAGTTAACAAGCTTTTGGTTGGCCCGGACCTGATACTCCTTATGCAGGTGCCTCTCCCAGCTCAGGTGACCCGTTGGTCCGGGTTGGGCCCATTTACATCCCTAGTTTTAGTATAAGAGAGAGACCCGACCGGTTCATGAATTTAATGAGCCTTTGGTTGGTCGAGCCCCAACAGGCCTTATGAAGGGTCTGACCAAACTCATGTATGGTCGAGGCTACAAGACCTGTCGCTCCAGGCCGGGGCATTTACATCGTAAGGCTAACCATCTATGTAATTAAATAAATAAAGTTAGGGCATTTTCGTCAGTCAAAAATATCAAGACGGATAAAAAGCACCGGGTCCGAACCGACTGCTTCACGCATTCTGCGTTGCGAATATTCCTTCCTCGACAAAAACATGCGAAATTTCACTCCGATTTCGCAACGTGTCCAGACCTCTCCCTTTGTCCGTTGATGTATCAACACGTGGCAGCAGCTACGCGATTCGGAGTTTTATTTCTGGCCGCAAATAGCCACATTCCACGTGGACGAAATCCAAGCTGTATGTCACGTGGATCAATCTGGTTGCTCGAACGATCTGTCGGAATAAACCCTCGATTGTTCTCCAAAGAGGTGTCCAGCTCAGCTCGTCTATGTAAATGCATCTCCCTTCCTAAATTTTGGATCCAAAATTTGATTTAAATCTCCCTTCCTACATTTTTGGATCCTAAATTTTAGTATGTGAGAATCGTGGTTAATGAAAATTTTAATAGATTTAATTTTAAAATTTGAAAATAGATTTTTTTAATTATTTTTTTTTAAAAATACAATTTTTAGAGGGTGTGGTTTGTATAGAGCCTAGGCGGTAAACAATCAAATTAGAACATACCTTCAAATAGTATCGAGAAATGTGATTTCAATACTGGAAATCTTTTCGATAGCCTTAAAATATATTTTCATCTTTATTTATAAAGTTTAAAAACTTCAAAAATAGTATAAATTGAGAGATCTTTGCAAACTTGAAAATCTTAAAAATTGACAGTCCAAAAATGCATTACAAAGTACACCATTTCCAAAACTTGAAATCTGTTTTTTTCTCATGTCCATGCATCTTGATGCCAAGATGATCAATTTGAAGATATTTGGGTATCAAAACAACCTCTTCTAATGAAATTTTTTAGGTAGGCTCTAATTTGATTGTTAGAGCCTCGACTCTATATAAACTTTTCCTTTTTCTAAATCCATCTTAAGATGGATGATTGATGGGTTAGGGATGGTAGTTGTTGGATTGCGTCCCCTGATCGCTCAGGCATAAAATAGTTCTCCAATTATTTTAAGGGCATGACTTTTATGAGTCATATCTCAATATGCGACCTCTCTTGATTTTGATTTGGGTGCAGTTTGCATGCATCCGTTGGTGTAGAGGTAAGGTGACCTTCAAATTTTATCATGGCATATAATTTTGATGTAAAATATTCTTAAGATTATCTCAAAATCTATTTTTATATCTAATTATAAAATTTTAAATTTCAAAAATAGTTAAAATCAAGTAGATCTATAAACATATGAAAATCTTGAAAATCGACAGTGTAGATAATATGTTGTAAAATGCAATATTTCTGAGACTTAAAATCTTTTTATTTTTCATAGTCATACATCTTGATGTTGAGATGTTCAATCAAAAGGCCTTTCAACATTAAAACGACATTTTTCGATGGATTTTTTAGGGGCATCCGTAGTTCTACATTTATAAGGTAACATCCTTATATAAACTTTATCCTTTTGTTTTTATGCAGGGCTTAATACTTTTTCCACATTCATCCTCAATATGGACGTGTGATGCATAAGGGGACACATTCATCCTCAATATGGACGTGTGATGAATAAGGGGACGCAAACTTAGAATTGTGTCCCCTTGGGCAGAAGGCACTTTGGCTCACTTATTGGTGTGAGCCCCTATCAAAATCAATCTTAAAGATGGTTTTTAGATCTAAACTTTTGGGGTTAATTAATCTCAATGATGATAATAAATATAAAAAATAATTTTTTAAAAAAATACATATAACATTTTTTTTAGAGGCACCTGCCCTTGATATTGACCTCTTATGCATAAGATTCACATGGTAAATCGGTTACTCTCACGGGGTCCTTTCAAATGTAGAAATGGGATAGTGGATTATTACAAAAAAAGCGAACTCGCATTGATGGGATGGATTGTCCATCCTATAGATGTGTGTCCAAATTAGTCCAGAATGGTTTTGATAATTTTAAAAAATTTTAAAATTTTTAAAAATAAATAAAATCAGTGGTTACGAAGGGATCTAAAAAAATATTAGACAAATTTTTTAAAAAATATTATATGAGGGGTTTCAGGGGAAGAATGCGGCAGCCTCAATACCTTTCAGAAACCAATTTAGTCCCTATCCATTCCCCGAACAAGTCATGAAACACGTGAAAAAATATTTGTTCCATCCACCCAATCATGTGTCCACTAAGATTTAATACTCGAATTCTCAAAATGCATCTCTAGATAAATTCATTTATGCCTCTTAATTTGGAGCCCCATGCGGTGATTTTCTCCCACTCATGTTCCCATGCGGTGATTTTCTCACACTCATGTTTCTTAATAAGAAAATAGGTTGTCTATAAAGAGAGTATTTATCTTAAAAGTCATAATCCTTTTTTGCCCTTAAATTTTAAAATAAGTGGTTGCAAAAGTGATATTAAACCCACAAAATTTCAAAAACCAGAAACAAGACTTTTCGAATTTATCCAAGCCATACAATTTGATATCTAATGATGATTATGCCCCCCATTTGCAAAAAGATAAATGGCAAAAAGATAGCATTTACAAATTGGACGCTATCTTGTCATTGCAAAAAAAAAAAATCTTAATATCATTCAAGCAAAAGGGTCTATTAGTCCACTTCTGAGGGGTATTTTCGGCATTTTCGTATTTTTAAGGTGTTACAGTCTCCTGGCTTGCATGAAGTGAACGAAGTTGCAGGGACGGTGGAGACATTTTCTCTGTCATAGATTTGAAATAAAAATAATTTAAACAATAAAATTATAACAGGAGAATCTATATACGTACATGAGCTTTTTGTTGATTATTTGATCTCTGGATCTTCTTCTACAGTTTTTTGGTACCCAATAATGGCGTTCTTGAAGACCAGATCTCCATTTTTTGCGTTTTCTCTGTGGAATGGGCCTTGTTATGAATATGTGGCTCTGTCAAGGTTATTTACTCGATTTTCGGTAACTTTTTGGTGAAGCAAAGTGATTTCTCTGCGATTTATCAACTGGTAATGAATCATTCTAGGTCTGTGAAGTTTAGAGCTCGATAACCGGCTCGATAATTTTCGATTATCGTTCTGGCTTGGCGAAGTGCAGGGGTGTAACTTGCAGTTTCTTCTTAGTTAATGGAAGTGCATATCTCATTTTTCTGCTATTTCTTAATGAAAATTGAACTTATTATGAAAGAAATACTGGTTATATGAATATTAGGGCTTTGTCCTGTTGTAACTGTGTTAAATGTTGCGTTCAAATCTCCAGTTTGAGATTATAATCTTGTAAAGTAGTCACGGAAACCTAAACTTTTGGTTATAAAAAATTTAAGTGTCTGTTTTGAGGTTTTTATGCGAACGAAACGCCTTCTAATAGAATCTTCTCTGTTCTTAAACGTCCTTTTCCTTTTCTCTTGTATTTTGCACCAAAATATTCATAATTATGGTTTAATTATGAATATTCAGGCTCTGTGAAGCTTCTGGCATCATTTTTGAAGTTTTGCTCCAAAGCAATCATTTTCTTGTAATCTTGAAGTTCACAGCTCCACTTTAGTTTTTCTTTTTTCCGTTTTTCATCTAACTTTTCCTGGTGGCAAAATAATTATGGTTCTATGATTTAGCGTTTTCACTTTTGTGGTTCTTTACCAGTAAATTGTTTTCTCCGAAGTTTAAAAGTTTAGATCTCCATTTTTAGCATTTCATTTTGACGAGGTAATGAGCAATTCTGAAAAGTGAAAAGCTTTCTCAAAGATGGTGTCGGATTTCCTGGATTTTTAAATCCCAGATCACCATTTTTAGCATCTCATTCTAGTTCAAGGGTTTTGCATTTCACTTTGAGGTTCTTTTACATATGCCACTTCTTTTATGACAAAAATTTCTCAAATATTGAGTCTCCAATGCATGGATTGGGAAGACCCCTTTTTTGTGATCACTAGTATTGAGGTTCATGTTTGCATGTTTTTGTGTGGGAAATTTGACCTGATAATGATTAATTTTTGTACCACAATTAAAAAAAGAAAAGAAAAAGTGTGTCATAATATTTTGGGTTTGTTTGTTGGAAAATTTGGTGCATATCCTTTCTGCTAGGCTTTGTGGAGAGAAATTATGAATTTCCCTTTTAGGATTTTCTCACAGAGACATCTGATGAGGTACTGAACCACGTTTTTTCGGCTCTTCATTTGGAGATCATTTTGTTGAAAACTTGAAAAAAATGGTATTTATCTTCTTTTTAGATATTTATAACATAGTTAATTTTTTTTGATAGATTGTCCGGTTCTCTGAAGGTCTGTCTCCATTTTGAGGTTTTACGCAGTTGGCTCTGATCAAATTACCAGTTTTTCCTGGGGCTATTGAAGTTTTTGTTTGTCTAAAATCTGTTCAGGTACAAAAAATTACTTTGTTACTAACCTCTGTCTTTGATCGGAAATTGAGATATTTATTTTGGAAATTTTCCTTCGACATATCCCATCCAGCAGTAGCAACAAGAAAAAAAAAAAAAGAAGAAAAATATGATCTAGTAGTGGACAAGGCAATTTATTTTTATTCAAATCCTTATTATGATTTTTTTGTTTTATTACAGAAATTAAGTGAAAAATTACGATGCAATAGGAAATTTGCATTTGTAATTTATTTGATCTGGCAATTTAAAAGAATTTCATTAAGCCTAGGATTTTCATGGATAATCCAAGATTAGGATCTTTGATTATTTTTGTTCATAAATTACAGACCTTCATTGGAAGGCTTAATTGTAAATTCTCAAAACCAGAGGTGATCTCTCTTGATTCCTTGATGTTTGTGTTTGTTTACAAACAGAAACTGAACTGAGAAAAAAGGTCTCTTTTAGTACCATGATGCCTAACAATAGAAAATTAAGGTTTCTGTACCTTCAATCTGATCTGGTAAAGTGGTTCTCAACATGTGCCATATCTGATGAGAAACCATATTCTGATTCTAAGAGTATAAAACCTCCATAAATTAAATTATCCGATCCTCTGGTTATTCGTGTTGTGGGATACTTGTGCATGTTCCATTTCCATGTTCTCTAAGTTCCCAAAAGTGAAAATGTAGAAAGAACAGAAAGAAATCAAAAAGGAAAATGTTTCCTGAGGAAAAACCAAAAAAGAGAAAGAAGAAAAACATTTTGCCCTGTTGTGAGTGGGGCATTTTTCTTTTTGGTTTCAGTAGAGAGATTCATTGACATAAAATTTCTGGTTCTATGAGTTTTGGTGGGTATCTAGTTTTGAGTTTTCGATTATTCTAATCTCAAATTTCTTTGTTAATTTTATTGCTGTTGTTAAGTGGAAAGTGTGCTTTTTTGTACCATGTTTCTTAATCCAGGTTTTTTCTATGATGAAATTGGGGTTGGTTGTTGAAGTTTCCTTTAAAGCCCTCAATCTTGAATGCTCAATTCCTATAAATACAATTTGTAGCACTCTTTTTTCATATACAACTTACAACAGTGGTTTATGAGTTAACATGTTAAAAAAAAGAAAAGAAAACAGCGGTTTATGAAGGATTGAGAGAGGAGAATTTAATTTAAAGCTTGAGATCTAATCCATTTATTTATGAAGGAGCAATTAAAAGCTTGGTGGACCTGCACTTTGTATCAGTCTTCATGGATGTACCCATCTTAAAGAATCAGAATCCTTGGCTTTTTGAGCATCTAATATCAGAATCTGGGCATTGAGTTGTAAAGTAAAAGCTCAAGTTACAGCAAAAGCAACAGAGAATTACATTACAGTGTTTAATTGTAAAGAGAGAAAAAAGGAATAAAAAGCTAAGCTTAAGATAGAAGGAATATGCTTCTTTGCAGAGAGCATTGCCTTATAAGTTTCTGAGCTCAAAATCAAGCCTCAGGGGCTGAAAGGCTGAAGCTTTTGTTGGTTAGAGAGACAAAATGTATGGGCAGAGAGGAATGTTTAATTCTGGCTCGGGGGAGCAGTCTGGTGCGAATGGCGCAGGCAATCTGAGTGAGAGAGATGCAATGTTATCAAGGGATCCCAAACCGAGGCTTAGATGGACCCCAGACCTCCATGAGTGCTTCGTCGATGCAGTGACCAAGCTTGGAGGACCCGAGAGTAACTCCTCTCTCCCTCTCTAACACACACACATACATACACACATCACATAGACAGTATGTTTTCTTTCTTTCTTTGTCCCGCACACGTACATGCACACGCACACACATGCACACTTGCATTGTCTCTATGTTTTCTCGAGAAAAAGGGTAAAAAACCAGAATGGGGGCATAGGGATTGAATTGGGGTTCCTTTCAGGAAAGGCATGGGAGGAACTTAAATATGTTGTATATCATTATCGATCTTATCTCAACTATTCGGGATGGGCCATCCAGGTATTTGGTCACAAGTTTAGTACCGTCAGATCATTATATTGACGGTAAAGGGGAGTTGGACTCACTAGAACATGGACGTAAATGGCCAAAATGGCCGGTCCCACCATTGTCCTCTTCACTATCCAGTCATCCATTAAACGGTGATAGATATTCATGACCAGTGATCCTAGTACATATTTCCAGAAAGCACCATCAAAATTGACGAGACTACCTTTAGGATGCACCACCTTCCCAGGTGTTAAGGTGTGGGACAAAGCCATGCGAGGGTATTATCGTCATTTAACGGCCATTGAGGGTATTATCGTCATTTAATTTAATTTTTTCAATTTCCAAATGAGGCGAATGTGTTCCCGAAAAATGGTCACAGGTGGTGAACTTGTACGAACATTTTAAATGCTTACATTCGACAGCTAGCCTATGGGCATCTGCCGTTCGTTCTCACGATGAACGGCGGGATGACTTGCCTCACCTACATATTTTTTCACAGTTACCTTTAATTGAGGAATTGAAATATTAAAAATCCATGAAAGCATTTTTATACAAAAGTTTCCCTAATCTTTATGGAAATGAGAACTTTTCCTTTTTTTTTATTGAATTTCACATTGCCTCTATTATTTATAGGAAAAAGTTTATATAAGGGTGAGGTCCTAAACAATTAAATTAACGACCACCTCAAAAATTCACTAGAAGAGGTTGTTTTCATGTTAAAAATCCTGAAATCGATCATCTCGACCTCAAGATTTATGGACATGAGAAAAAAATATATTTCAAATATTGAAAATAGTGCATCTTGTAATGTATTTTTTGGACCATCGATTTTTAAGATCTTCAAGTGTTCATAGATCTACTTGGTTTACAATGCTTTAAATTTTCTAATTAGAGATGAAAATGAAATTTCAAGCTATCACAATGAATTTAAGTACTAAAATAACATTTTCTGATAATATTTGGAGGTATGCCTTCCTTTGAATGTTTAAAGCCTCAGCCTTACATAACCCACAGCGTTTTTGAAAAAAAAATATAGTTAAAGGAAAAAGTATATATAAGGTTGCAACCCTAAAATGTAGAACTACAGATGCACCTCAAAAATCCATCGGTAAAGGTTCTTTTAATTTTGAAAATCCCTCTAATTGATCATCTTGACATTGAGATGTATGATTATGGAAAAAAAAAAAAAGGTTTTGAGTCTCAAAAATAGTACACCTTATAACACATTATCTAGACTGTCCATTTTCAAGATTTTGATATGTTTATAAATCTACTTGATTTTAATCATGTTTGGAGTTTAAAATTTTATAATTAGATTTGAAAATAGATTTTGAGATAATCTTAAGAATATTTTACACCAAAATCATATGTTATGATAAAATTTGAAGGTGCGCTTAAATGGATTGTTTAAGGTTGCAACCTTATTGAAACCGCAGCCATAGTTAAAAGAGGGTAAAGGAGTAACACGAATCCTAATTGCATTTATCCTAAAGAAAACACAGTAAATATTTTGGTACCTTTTGGATGTGCGATTAAAAGGACCTTTGATAATTTGATTTTGCCTCTTTGTTGTTGAGAAATACAAAAATGCTAAATACCAATTTTATGTCACGAACATACAAATAATAAAGAAGCAAAGTCAAATTATCAAAAGTCATTTGGATCGCATGCCCAAAAAGGAACAAACCGCTTGCTGTGTTTGCTTTAGGATAAATTCAATTAGGATTCGTGTTTCTCCTTTACCCTCTTTTAACTATATTCTTTTAGAAAAAAAAAAAAGTTAAACTAAACAAAAGGAAAAGTAAAAGAAAAAAGAAAAGACAAAAAAAAGAAAGGGAAAAGTTACCCATTTGATGTTTAAGGAATTTGTGTGTTTCAGAAGCCACTCCAAAGTCGGTTCTGAAAGTCATGGGCTTCAAAGGTCTCACTCTGTACCACCTCAAGAGCCATTTACAGGTAATTCCTTATTTGCTTTTTTTTACTCAGGCAAACTCTCTTCAGTCTTTTGTTTACTTCTGATTTTTTTAAAAAAAACAAAAGGTCTTTTGTTTACTTCTACTTGGTTATAGGGGTGGCAACAGACTGGATCAATACCCAGACCTTGACCCGGACCCGAAAAAATGATATGGGATCCAGATCCGGGACCTGGACCTGAACCCCTGGATCCAATTTTTGGAGCCACGACCCGGTCCATCCCTCGAGTCCCGGGTTAGGTTAGGGTCCATTGTCCCCTTGATCATGTGATTATTGTTTTTTCCAAACATTTGCAAACAAATCTCAATATTTAATATAAAGAAAAAACTTATAAGATTGCAACCTTACACTATTGAAATAAGCTGCAACTCAAAAGTCCTCTAAAAGAGGGTGTTTCAATATTTGAGGACTTCAACAGTATGGAAATGATGAAAAAAGAGAATTTGAAGTCTTAAAAATGATTCATATTGTAACAACTTATTTGGATCATCTATTTCGAAAGTTTTTAGGTGTTAATAGATCCACTCAATTTATACTATTTAAAAAAATTTACTTTCCCCTAACAGGGGATAAAAACATATTTTGAAACTCTTATAGTGTTTATAAGGCCGCAACTACGTCCCCAAACAAATTTCTCTATTACACCTTACTGCACCTTATACAAACTCACCCATATTACAAAGAGCCCCACAGCTTTCAAATACCCAAAATATCCCCGGCTTCTGCAATAGAGCCATCATGAGTCTAAAGGTAGCAATGGACCCAGACCCGACCCAACTCTAGGTATGGGTCTAAAAATTCAAATATTGGATCCGAACACTATTCGGGCTGTCCAAATGTTAATAATATTTTAATATTTTTTTATTTTTGGATCCAATCTGTTCCAAGTCCGAGCCTGGTCGGGGCCAAGTCCCATAATTTTTTTCAAACACCCTGACCTGATCCGACCCGTTGCCACCCCCCAGGTCACTTCCATGCATCTAACCACACTTAACCCGGGCTTATATGGCAGAAATACAGATTAGGGAAGCAACCACGCAGAGAGAGCAGCACTGAAGGAGGAAAGGACGGTGAGTGAACTCATATAATTTAAATTTTTTTTTATAAAAAGATTATAATACCCTCATATTTTCTCCATTATGATATGAGAAAACTTTATATGTTCCCCCTACAACATAGAAGTTCTATCCTCCAGTCTATTTTTTATTAAGGGAGCCACTCACCGTTTGATCTTAGATCCAACGTCTCAAAGTATTTTATTTTTAGTTTTTTTTAATACTTTTCTGAATATGAAATTTGGTACGTGCCATCTTCTCATTGGGGTGCGCACCTACAAAAAATATTCACAATAATTTTTCGATAAAATATAACGAGCGAAATACCCTTTGAAACTTTTAGAGGTATTTTGGTTGAAAATATTTTTTTAATATTTTTCGTTAGTGCGAGTTTAATAGAAGAATGGACGTCCAAAATTTGGTGTCAAAATAGTTTATATAAAAAAATTAAAAATAAAATAGTGTAGAGATGTGACCTTGTGATTGAGACAATCTTAGCCCTCCACTAAAAAATGGACGATTGGATAACGAGGAGGATAGAACTGCTATATTGTAGAAAGAACGTAGAAAGCTTTCCCCTGTTCTTTTGGATGTGTTTGTAAGAGCAACTTAACTTTGAAGATTTTGGCAGTATAAACTTTACCCGAGTTTCAGGTTCTAAAGTTCAAAAATGTCTAAAACTACGCACCCACTTTTTTTTTTTTTTTAATTTTTCAAAATCAAAATCAGTAGATTCTTTTTTTTGAAGAAAAGTTACAGAAAAATCCATTTTTATTTTCACACTTTAGAAATTGTCCATGTAGTTCATATTTGACACTCAAACCTACCTTTACAGGGCATATTTTAATCATAGCTCTTTTTTATTCATTGGATTAAAATCAAATTTGGTATATCCATATTTTTCACCATCACACATCTATAAAAACATATTAAAAAATAATTTAAAATAATAAATAACCAAAATACCCTATAATATTCAAAGGTACTTTAGTACTTTTATTTATTTGAAATGACTTCTAAAATATTTTTTATGGGTGTGGCACAGTGAGAAATATGAATATACTAAATTTGAGCTAAATCCGATTTATAGAAAAAAAATAGAAGTATAATATATTATATAATTTCTAAAAATGGGATTTGTGGGTAAAAAATAAATAAATACATGGTGTAATTTTGTTAATTCTAAAAATAAAACAGGTTTCAGTAAATTTCAAAATAAGTATTCCATTCCCAAGTTTAGTTTGCATTTTGGTGAATAGATGTGCTTCACGTGAATACCTTTAACTTCTTCCTCACTTTTTGTGAGAACTTAGGTGTCCCAAAACGTCAAATGTCAAGCTAGCCAAGTTTTGGCTTTAATTCTCACCTTCAGTATTTCTATATGACTGTCATGACTATGACCACCAGCACAATTTAAAATAACTTCTAGTTAACTTCTAATTCACAGCAAAATTTAGGCCCAATTCATTTTCTCAATTTTAGAATTTAGGTACAATTCAATTTCTCAGTTTTGGGTTGTGGTGATGCAAATGAAAACGAAATTCAAAATTCAAACTTTTGTCGGAAATACTCTGTAGTTTTTTTATTAGTTTGTAAGTTCAATTTCTATGCCTTGAGGATGAAGGAATCTTGGATATTTTTATGTACTGAAAAGGCCTAGGTTTGATGCCATTTCTTTCAATTTACAATCTATGGCTAAGTAGTAATAAATTTTGTAGTTCAAAGAAAAGGCAGTGAAAGAAAAAGCAAAACGAAAACTAGAGATGAAGAGCAGGTTCAGAGGATTCTATTGAAATGAATTGGAAAAGGTGATGACAAAGAAAAACTTCTGAAAACTTAAGACTTGGGCATGGAACCACGTAGGTCCTGAGTCCTATTCTACCGGTCTGACGCATCTCAAAAAGATTCAGCCAAGTCTATGAAAAATTAATACAGCGACATTAGGAACCAGTGGTACTCGGGCACTTGCTGAGGTTGTTCCAAGGTTTTTCGATGGGATCCTGCACCCTGCTGGGTCCGAGTACCTTGAACAGACTTCCAATTCAGACTTGCCAAGTGTGAAACACTGAAATAAACATATCATGGATGTTTAGTGAATGTGTATTCTATTTTGGATAATTGATGAATGCATTTCATTGCTAACTTTTGAGACAGGCAGTTTAGGTAGCCAAAAGCCCCCTATACTGGCAACTGATAGCGCCTTACGACAGAACAACCAAGGGTAAGCCATTCTTGTTCTACTACCAAAGCCAATTTTTCCCATTTCATGGTTAAACTTCAAACCAGTGTCCTTTTTGTGTGGTTTCAGTCGTCAAATCCTTTGAGCTTCCTTTATGTGGGTATTCATCTTCACTGATTTAAGTATCAATGGGGTTTGTACTTCGGCGTCTTATCGTGGCTTTCATCTATATGATTTTGGGTTGAATTTCCAGCTTACCCACATGAAGAAGGAAAGAGGGAGCAGGAGGGAATAATGCTGCTCCGCCCTCCATGTGAGAGAGAGTGTGTATGTGTGCCAGTAGTGATTGCCAACACTGGGATCACAATCTGTTGACAGATTGCTGATTTTCTTGCTGTTTCACATTATTTTCCACATTTCATCTTTGGAAGAGAATGAACTTTCTTTCAACAATTTTTGTTTATTGATTGAAAAAAGAAAAATGAGTTTAAGAATCACCATTCTTTGCTAACTGAGTCATGAACTGATTTAATCAATGCTGATTGAATGAGTAATGACGCATAGGTTTTGTGCTAAAACAGGGAAATCCAGATTGCACAGGCTATTCGTTATCAGATAGAAGTACAGAGAAAGCTCCAAGAGCAGCTAGAGGTAATTTTTCCTCAGAATCATTAGTAACCCCTAGATTTTTCATGAAATAAAGATTTCTACAGTTAATGAACAATTTGAAAAATAACCAAGCTTCTCATTCTAATTTTATTTTTCTGCAAATCTTCAATCACAATATTGTGATGGAACTATTATTGTTAGTAACATTGTTTGGGATTGGCATGCATGCTATAAGATAGCATTCGTTGGTATGCCACATATCATGTGTGCCATGGTGTGCAACCACCATCTCTTTCAACTAGTTGGAGAGCTTGCAAATGATTTATTTGCTTGCCTGATGTACAGTGAGGAGTTTGTTGTTGTGCTGGCATCAAAACCCATATCCATTTTGTAAACCTAAGCCCATGTCTGTACAAATTGCATCTTGGTCCTCTATCAGAGTAATGCTATTATCAAATCACTCCACCATCGGCACTACCTCCATCATCATCATTACTATTAAAATAACATAAGAGTGACAGTTTAAGTGACAACTGCATGTGAATTACATCTTCCTCCTGGTAGTAACCGGTTCAAAGCTAGAATTAAAAGTTTTTCTGTCCCCAATCCTTTCCTCTCATTTTCCCTTGTCCTTTGGCGTTTCTCAAATCAGGTGCAAAAGAAATTACAGATGAGGATCGAGGCCCAAGGAAAGTATTTGCAAGCAATCTTAGAGAAAGCCCAGCAGAGCCTCAGATGTAAGGTGCACTATCGTGATCAACTTATCCTTTCCTAAAGCTTCTTAAATAGATAATTAGAGGAACCATAATGAATTTGCAAAAAGTTACTTACTTAAGCATAATTTTTTTGGAGCATAAAACCGAAATATCTTATCTCCAATATGTATGTGAGCAGGAAGGAGTAGAAGAAGAGAGCAAGGTTGGGTCTGATTACCAGAAAACAGCAGCTGGAAGTTTGGATCTGAATGTGAACCAGGGGTCATTGGATCTCCAGATCTATAAAAGATATTCATAGAGGCACATGTTTCTTCCTATAGTTTTCTTTTTTATTTTCTTATTTGTTGTCTTTTAGAGGAAAATTTGTTCAAAATTTTAGCTTTTATACCTTTTGTATTTCCTATGTGTATGGTAAAATACATATATGAATTAGCATCACAGCTGTTTATTCAACTCGAATCTCAGTGCAGATATAATTGAAGTGGTTTCGTATTTCTTCCTCATTTTCTTCTTTTATTTGCCGATTATTGCATAATTTCTTATTTGTCTCCTAGTTGTTGAAATCTCAGACCTTGAGCCTTGTTTGTCAACTTGGACCCAATTTAGACAAGGTAATATTTGCTTTTCACATTTTCTTGTATTTTAAACTCAATGCCTTCTTTGAAATTCCATACTGAATTTCAGGCTTTTCACCCCAAGGTTGAAGTAATTAGTTTCACCTGAGGAATTAAAAATTGCTATTCAGATAACTTTTTTTTTTTTTTACAATACCATGAGCACATATAGCATTCTCCTATGGGAGCATACTGTACATTTACTCACAAAGGATGTGCTTTAGAGGATTATTACTATGCGAAGTTTTGGAATCCACTTTAGAAACATCAAATGGATGCGTTAAAGTAAACGGATTTGCTCCCAAAACCATTCAAAATTGGGCAGTCTCTGTTCATTTTTAGGGTGCCATTCTTTTCAAGCACATAAATAGGGTGTACAGAAGTTTTTTCCACTTTTTGAGATGGTCGTTAGATTGAGGAAGTCACATTGCCACAATTTTGCACCCTGAAAATACTCTAAATTAGGGGTTTAGCCGAGGGAGTGTATCTCGGACATGCTTTGGCAAATATCATTCTAGAACTATAGAATTTCCAATCATTTTTGGCTCATTTTTATTCAAATTTCAGGAAATACTACCAAGTCCTTTATAGAAAAGGGTGCAGTTGGTATACGGATGCATCCGTAGGTGTAGAGGTAAAGTGCACCTTCAAATTTTATCATAGTATATAATTTTGATGTAAAATGTTCTTAGGATTAACTCAAAAACTATTTTATATCTAATTATAAAATTTTAAATTTAAAAAATTGTTAAAATCAAGTAGATCTATAAACATATGAAAATCTTGAAAATGGACAGTGTAGATAATATGTTGTAAAATGCACTATTTTTTAGACTTAAAATATTTTTATTTTCAAAGTCAAACATCACGAAGTCAAGATGATCAATCAAAGGGTTTTTCAATATTAAAACCACCTTTTCCAATGGATTTTTTTAGGGGCATCCGTAGTTGGAAAAGGATTTTTGAGGGACATCCGTAGTTCTATATTATAAGGTATCATTCGTATATAAACTTTTTCCTTATAGAAAAGGACACTTGTTTTTCAACTGAAAATTTTTTTTTATGGATTTTATGAAATAGTCAAGAATTCTAACAATATATTATGTTGGCTCCCCAGTAGCTTGGGTGCTGCCCAGTTGGGCGGGCCATCCACGCAGCTGGGAGGTCTCATCTCCCTGCACTGGGTTGACCCTGGAGGACGACTAGTCTCCCAAAGCACCCAAAGCCCTTTTGGCGAGTGCAAAATTTGCCCTCGATAAAAGGGCAAATGTAATTTTCTCCCTATAGAAGTAGAAATAGTATTTGGAGTATTTTGGTCTCAAAACCCTAGAGAACTATATGTATGCCTCAAAAACTACTTTTTAACTTAAAATCAATTTTTTTAAAGGATCGAATTTGAATTCAATGTATTCTTGTGAATTCGAAAGGCATTTGATTCAAAACTTTTTGTATATTAAAGTAGTTGCAGAAGAGAGCTTTTGGCCACTGAAACTAACTGATTCAAGCCTACTTTGGTTGGTTTTCAAAATGCTAATGAATTTCATTTTTTATTTTTAAGGTTTTATACTTTTTACAAGTATTGTTTTATGTTATGTTTTTTCTTACCATTTTTTTATTTTTTTTAAAGTGGACCCGGTTTCTATGCGG